CCAAAGCCTGTGCCGCTGTCTCGGCGTTTGTCTGCATACACAGTACACTACCGGTGCAGACGCTGGTCTCCTTCGGTTCGGACGACCAGAAGCGCCGATACCTACCGATTCTGGCCAACAAAAGTGCCGCGAGTTTTGCCATCTCTGAGTCCGGCGCCGGTTCCGACGCCTTCGCCCTCCGGACCCGCGCTGTGAGGGATGGCAACGATTGGGTGCTCAACGGCGCCAAGTCGTGGATCACTAACGCCAAAGAGTCGCAAGTATTCGTGGTGTTCGCCAACGCCAACCCCGAGGCCGGCCATCGCGGGATCACCTGTTTTATTGTCGATCGCCACACACCGGGCCTAACGGTGGAGCGCCCGGAGAACAAGCTGGGCATCCGGTGCTCGAGCACCTGTGCCCTCACACTGGACAACGTGAGGGTCGGCCCGGAACAAGTGGTGGGCGAAGTGGGCCAGGGATACCGGTACGCGATACAGACGCTGAACGTGGGCCGTATCGGTATCGCCGCCCAAATGCTAGGTCTGGCCGAAGGGTGTTTCGCCGAAGCCGTGAAGTATACGTTAGGCCGCCTGCAGTTCGGGCGCCGTATTTTTGACTTCCAGGCACTTCAGCACCAGATCTCTGCGGCGGCCACTGATCTGGAGTCGGCCCGACTCTTGGTGTACAACGCGGCCAGACTTCGCGACGCGGGCCTACCCTTCGTGAAGGAGGCCTCGATGGCCAAGTATTACGCGGCCGAAGTGGCCACGAGAGTGACCAGTAAGTCAGTGGAGTGGTTGGGAGGCGTGGGCTTTACCCGTGACTTTCCCGTCGAGAAATACTATAGGGATTGTAAGATTGGCAATATATATGAGGGCACCTCTAATATACAGCTCAATACGATCGCCAAGTTTATTGATAGAGAGTACCAGTGATGGTCTGATCCAGTGATTGAGTGCTGTAACCCATTATCTGATTGTCGGCTAAAGACATGGTATCTATGGTATGATTTTGATGTGTATTTTTGGTTGATTTATATTTGACGGACATTTTGTACGCATTTTATTTTATATATTGTATATGTTTTTTAGTGTGGGTTTTGATAATGTATTTTAAAATTTAATTTGTTTGATATACTTTTTTTTGTAATTTTTGTTTTATTTTTATATTCCAATTATGTTTTTTTGGCTAGACGTTTATTCAATGACTTTGTATTAAATGCTGATATATTTTTATGACCACTTATATTGATTGTCTGTATTGCCAAAGCAATTAACATAATAGTTGTCTGATAGTTGTCTCAGCGAATGCACAATTTTAATCACGTTGGTTATTTATATTTAACTATAAATACATTATACGTGTACAGTGTATACATACAGAGTGTATAATATGGGTGTTTGAAAAGTTTATGCATTTTAAATCATATTCAAAACTTTTAATACGTAATGATAAGAGATAAGACACAAACACATCACTCACGCAATGCCTACTAATGGGCAAAAATTATAGCACACATAGCAGTGCCGTAACATAACTGTCCATTGAATGAATGAGGTGTTTTGGCCTTTGATTTATTAAACATGGTATTTATTCAACGTATTTTTACTACCAGTAGTAATCACTGTTCAACACATGTGCACTAATGCATTAGATTTGCCTAAAATATGTTTAAAAAGTAGTGTTTTATTTCATAAAAAGGTATTTAAATCGTGAAATGGCGTGCAATTCATGGCATATATTCACAAAACTTATCACTTTTAATAAAATACATAAAACAATATTCACAGCACTTCTCCCCACCTAATCATTAGCACCATTACTACTGTAATGTCTATGTATTTAGCACTCGGGGAGGGATGGGAAGGGAGGGTATGAAATAGATTTTGTTAAAAAATATATGATTATTATTGATATTATTTAAGTGATGTGCAGTGAAAATGCTATTTAATCACGATATATCCCACTTTCATGATGGTTATTCATACAGTGAATTTACTGTATAAATATACTGTATATGAATTTAATAAATGCGCTTGAGAGTTTTTTATTTTGAAAATGGTCCATGTGTTTTTGAACAGTTGGTACATTAGTGTGGCTCTCGTTTCGATTACATTCATGGATTTGTTATCAATTTTTTGCTATCGGATAAAAGTTAAATATTTACAATATTTGTCGTGCCTTTAAATACATAGTACTTGTTGTGTATACCGTATATTGCGTTGAAATGTCAAATAAGTTATACACTGAATGAGATTTAATATCACATAAAATATATATTAGTCTATAATTAAATTTGTTTTATAATTTCGGTGTATTTCACTAGAAACTAGGTCGTAAATGTTGGCAACAATTAATTATATATAAGTTATATATGATAAATAAATAAAATTATTAGAAATAGATCAATTATTGACTTTAGTAGTAGTTTCAGTAGTAATATCTCAAGTCTCTCTCTCTCTCTCTCTCTCTCTCTCTCAGATTTATAATAATACAAATGACTTTCACTTAAGTAAATATCATACACAGAATTGATGGTTATTTTAATCATAATTTAATTATTAGCAAAAAAATAATTGAGATTTCATTTCACTTAAAGTACACTTTTTGTATACACTCTTTACACTATAATATTTTATATAAAAATATAAAGTATATTATTAAACAGTATATATGCCGTACATCTCAGGCCATACTGTCGTTGCCTTTTCTTATGCTATATATATTTATTTATGGCCTATATTTACATCCAATTCCTTGAGTTATATAATACACGGCAAACAAATCAACAGAAAAAAACTAAAATATAAATGAAAACATTAGGAATTCAATATTTTATGTGCATTTCTCTCTCCCATCACTTCCACAAAGTTTTATTTATTGATTGAACACTTAATACTGAAATATCAAAATTAATTTCCATTTAATTAAATATAAATAAATCTATGAAAACATCGGGAATAACATTAGGAATGGCAGGAATTGCTTATTACTTATGGCACAGAATAAGTTGATGTGTATATGAAGGACAGTGTAGTTATACAGCACTGGTATTAAACATATAGGGATTGTCTGTATTTTAACTATAAAATCAAATCTAATATATAAACTGAAATGGCATTCATTTTTTTGTCGCCAAACATTTCATACGTTTGTGTGGATTATTATTATTATTATTGAATGCATTTTGACGTCAAATATAATATATATATCCAAAACATACTCTCAAATAACTGGCAGTGAAAATCAAATGAGAGAAAAATCTCTTATATTTTGCTGTTTTTGGTGTGAATTATACGAAACGGACCGTACATTGAATGGCACACAGAATTAGATATGAAATTATATTTTCTTTATGCTATAACTTATATATTTTTACGATTATATATACGATATCTGAATGTTGAATGTATTGTAAGTTATAGTTAATATATTTCTAGAATATCAATAATATATTTTGACGTTACTTATAATTCTACATAAAATTTAATTTATATTTATTATTCAGTTTTATATTATATAAAGTAGAATATTTGTTAACATTTAATTTGTTAATACAATATAAATAGTATATAGCAATGCATTATTAGAAATATATAATTTGTGATATCATTAAATCATTAATTAAATAGTTTTGCTGGTATTTGGCAAACGACTAATTAAAACGTTTGCTACAAAAAAAATAGTGGAGAGGTTTGATCGCACAATAGACTCAACCAATTGAATGGCTGTGTGTTTGTTGGATACACGAGAGAGTGTGAGAGAGAGAGAGATGTGTTAATTCATTAATGAGATTTTAGTTGAGGTGTCAGTAAAAGGCCAGAGAGAGAGAGAGAGAGAGAGAGAGAGAGAGTTATTAATGATGTTACAACTATTATTACAATGTAAAAGTATCGAATTTTATGAAATATATTTGGATTTAATCTCATGAGAGAGAGAGAGAGAGAGAGAGAGAGCAAAATCGATATCTTGAGCACTGATTGCAAAGCAATTATTTAATGTATTCTTTGACTTTGAGAAGAGAGACATAAGAATAAAACCTTTTTTGCTTCTCATTCAATACACCCCTTGGGGTTAACATTAGGAAAATTACAAATATATTGCATATACAGTGTCCACACAATACAGGGTATCCATCGATATACCAGTTGTTATATGAAATCTTAATACCACTGACCCCTGAACCCCAATTAATTAAATAATAACTATAGTTACATATATTCTATGGTCTGACGATAGCTCAACGTTGGTTTTTCATAGTCATGGACTTTGAAATGAGCTGATCATTGTACTCCCGGGCCTACAGGATGGGGGTTCGACTCCCAGTAATACGAGCTCCTGGTCTGCAATCGAAGATCAAATCGATGAGAACGCCAACGGTTCGAACGACAATCACATGACATCACATACCATACAGACAAACACGCCTACACCAACACAGCTTAACACAAACAGTAGAATATAGATCTATATGTTATATGATATGTATAAATGAAAAGTTTGAAATATGTAATATGTATTGTATATCAAAAACACTAAATGTAATGGATTATTATGAAAACCAGCAGTGCTGATAATGATTCCAATAAAGAAATATTATTATTATTATTATTATATTAATGATGTTACAACTATTATTACAATGTAAAAGTATCGAATTTTATGAAATATATTTGGATTTAATCTCATGAGAGAAAGAGAGAGAGAGAGAGAGAGAGAGAGAGAGAGAGATGTGAATGGGATGTGTATCTGAAGTGATAAATAAGTGTAATTAATATGAAATATAATAGATTATAATAGAAAGAAAAACTTTAGTTATAAGCGACAGAAAAACAAAATAATTTTATATAACTTTGTATTAATGGCTATAATTTATATCACATGTAATTACGATCGACATAATAACGAACAAATGTTTTTAAGCTTTAATTGATAATAATTATCAAAATAATTAATTTAATTCACAATATATAGCAACTAAATGTAAATTAATATAATAGTTTGATCGAAAAACTTATTTGATTTCAAATGTATTGTCAAAAATATATAAAAGTTGTAAAAATATTTGAGAAGCAGATGGAGTACTAGAGTTCGTAACCATTCTGTATATGTTTGCTGTGTTTTTGAGTCCATAGGCTTTGCATTAAATTTTATATATGCTGTATATTCTGTGCGCTTTTGTATGGCTTTTGGCCATAGAGTTAGTATAGAGACCTACAGTATGTATGTATGTGTGCATTGGCTTTGAATTTCCCAAAGGTATTCACAGAATTCATGTTATTTTATTTGTGATACTGGAGAGAGAGAGAGAGAGAGAGAGAGAGAGAGAGAGAGTTATGCCAAGAAGAAGATAGGACTCAAACAATAAGATAGTATTAATCACACAAACAATTGTATTGAAAGTAAAGGAAATTAGAAACGAATTGCAAATGTGTTTTCGCCTCTCTCTCTCTCTCTCTCTCTCTCTCTCTCTCTCTATTGCTAAGACATTCACTCGCTTTTATACAAAACCATAATTATTATAATCAAATGGTTTCAGGTTAGTATGTATGTATGTGTGCATTGGCTTTGAATTTCCCAAAGGTATTCACAGAATTCATGTTATTTTATTTGTGATACTGGAGAGAGAGAGAGAGAGAGAGAATATGTGTTATTTTATTTGTCGTTAATTTATTTATATGTATGCGTGAGAGAGACATGTCTTATATTTATGTATGTTTTTATTACATAATTTAATTTCACAATTATTATGATTACTATTACAATAGTACTGTTATAGTAAACATACATTTACTACACTCTACTAACTTATATAGTATAATATATATCTATCGTGTTATTTATGAGATACTGTGTTATGAAATATTTGTTTATAACATTAACCATTGCTGGTCTTAAGGCCCCTAAAGATAATGCCAGTTGTAAATTGAATTCA